AGAAATGGTTACATTGTTAAAACTTAGATCACACATTTAAATGTGTGCAATTTACTGGATGTAAATTATACATTAATAAAGGTAATTTCTTTTTTAAGGTACCCATTCTGGGGGAGAAAATAAAACAGAAACAGAGTCACAGGTACAGAGAACAAACTGATGGGAGGGCGGTTAGGGGACTGGGAGAAAAAGGCGAGAGAATTAAGAAGTACAAATTGGTAGTTACAGAATAGTGATGGGGTTGTCAAGTACAGCACAGGGAATAAGCCAATAATATTGTAATAACTATGTATGGTGTCAGGTGGGGACTAGACTTGTTGAAGAATCACTTTGTAAGTTATATGAATGTTTAACCACTATGCTAAACACCTGAAACTAATATAAAATAATATTGAATGTCAACTGTAATTGAAAAATAACACTACAAAATGAGAAATCCCTTAGGGAACAAAAACAATAAAATGGCAGGTGTAATTGCAGCTAGTCAATAACCACTGAATGTGAATGGATTACATAATCCAAACAGGAGGAGGAGATCGCCACCAGATTAATAAAACAAACCATGATCCAAGTATCTGAGGTGTTCAGCACACTATAGATTCAAAGATACACATAGATTGATTGGAAGTAAGAGCATGAGAAAAGATATATCTGTAAGCAGCATCCACATGAAAACTGGAGAGATTATACAAATATCTGCAAAATAGACTTGAAAAGAAAAAAATGTTACTAGAGATATTGAAGGACATGATATAATGCCAAAAGGGTCAAAGTTTGCGGCTGTATCTAAAACAAAAATAGACAAAAATGTATAGTCATTAATGCCTATACTAGCAAAGAAGAAAACAATCAAATCACGAACTTAATTGTTCAACTTAACAGATATAAAAAATGAGGTACCAAACCCAAAGCAAAGGAAAAAGGAAATTACAAAATTGGAGCTGAAATGAATGAATTAGGGAATAGAAAACTTATAAGGAAGATCCATGAAACCCAAAGTGAGTTATATGGAAAATTTAACAAAATTGACAATCTTTAGCTAGATTGACCTAGAGAAAAAGAGGCAAGATTCACACCCATAGATCAGGAAGAAAGTGGGATATTTCCACTGACATCATGTGTTACATGCCTTTGAGTCGGCCCTGACTCCTGATAACTAACCTCCTGAAGGAGCGACGCCCACAATGTCCCGCCCTCATGCCCTCAACAGGCCTGCTCAGTTCCCATAGACTCCAGCCAACGGCTCCTTTTATGGAGTCAACCCACCCATCTCACAGCTTGTCTTCCTTCCTCTTCTTGCTGCCTTTTATTTTTTCCATCATTATTGTCTTTTCTAAACAATCTTGCCTTCCCATGATGTGCTCAAAGTAGGGCCACTTCAGTTAGAATTATAAAGGAATTTAGTGTAGAGCCATGTGACAAAAAATTAGAATATTTAAATAAAATGCATAATTTCCTCAAAGGACATGAACTACTGAAAATAACTCAAGAATAAATGAAAAATCTGAATAGCACTATAAAAAGTGAAGTGGCTGAATTAGAAAACAGCAAAACAAAAAACAAAGCAACAACAACAAAAAACACCCATAAAGTAAGTCTAGGAGGCCCCAATGCCTTCACACAGAATTCTCTAAAACTTGTAAAGTTTTGTTAGCAGTTCTTCACAAGCTCTTCTGAATAATACAATGGAGAGAGCACTTCACACTCGCTTTGTGAGGCTACTATTGCTCTGATACCAAAACTAGCAAGTGCATCACATAAAAAGAACACACCGTTTTCTTTTGTGAATATGGAGTCTTTAAACTCAAAAAAATGCTAGCAAACCCTATTCAGCAACATATACAAAGAATTATATACCATGACCAAGTGAGATTTATTCCAGGGATGAAAGGTTGGGTTAACATCTCAAAATCTATTAATAAATGAGACCAATAGAGTAAAAAAGCAGAAATAGCAAGATCATCTTGATAGACTCAAAGAAAATAATTAACAAAATCCACCCTTTCATTATTAAAACACTCAGCATACCCAGAGTAGAAGAAAATTTCCAAGCCTTATACAGAGCATCTATGGAAAACTCACAACTATTATTACATTTCATAGTGAAAGACTGAATACTTTACCCCGAAGACAGGAATAAATTATTGTCTATTCCTGTCACTCCATTCAACAGTTTACTAGAGATTGAACCAGAACCATTAGGCAAGAAAAGGAATAAAAATGCTTGTAGATTGATTTGGAAAATGTAAAGCTATCTTTACTTCCAGATAAGATAAGTTATAAGAAAACTCTAAAGAATCCACTGAAAAAACTATTGGAACTGATAATTGAGTTCAGCCAATTTGTAGGACATAAGAACAAAGTATAAAAATAAATTGTATACACTTTTAGTGAACAATATGGTAAAGAAAGGGAATGCATTCACAATAAAATAAAAAAGAATAGTCCTTAGAAATAAATTTAACAAAAGAAGTACAAAATGAATACTCTGAAAACTACAAAACATATACTAAAGGAATAAGTTAATAAATGAGGAAATATCCCAATTTCATGGATCAGAAAACTTAACATTGTTGAAATAGCACTATTTTCCAGGTGATCTAGAGATTCAACACAATACCTATCATGCCCTCAGCTTATTCCTTTATACAAATTCTCAAGCCATTCTATAAAATTACGTGGACTTGAAAGGGGACCAGAATAGCCAAATCAACCTTGAAAGAAAAAATGGTAGGACTACATTTCTTGATTTCAAAATGTTTGTAACATGCAATGGTAATCATGAGTGTGGTACTGATATAAAAATAGACCTAGAGATCTATGGCACAGAATGAGATTTGAGAAATAAACTCATACGTCTATGGTCAACTGATTGAATATTGACTGTAACTGAAAAATAAAAAGAGACAAAATAAATAAATAAAAATAGAATTGAAGTAAAAAAAAACAAGACTTCTTAAAAGAACACAAATGGCTTTCTTACACTAAGAAATCTTAACTTTTCTTTCCTTTTTTTGGAACACTTCTGGTTTTTCGCTTGACTATATTTCAAGTTTGCAAACTCTAAAACCTTTTAATATGCATATATATCATTTATTTCCAATCAAAACCTCCAGACTCAAATTTTTGAGTTAGTTCCACACACTTAAAAAATGATGAAAATGTAAATTTTATGGTATGTGTATATCATCACAATTAAAAGTAAAAATTTTAAGGTAAGCCTTAAAGAACAAAAAATCAACCAAGTAAATTTAAAGACCTACTTGCCATTGTTAAATGATAAATGAATAGTCAGCATCCCATCTAATAGACAGAAAGACCCTCTGAAGGGCTGCACAATACAGAAGGCTTTTAGAGACAGAAACTGAGCAGGGCGAGAAAGTTAATGGCAAAAGAAAAGAATGGATTGTTTCATGGAAGGTCAACTTTCTTCGGAGAGAACTGAGGCAGGGGTTTTATTGGGCAGATTGCCTTGCTAATATTCACTGATTGATTTAAAGTCACATTCCTGGAAGGCAATGAAACTGCAATTAAGTTTTTGTTTGCTGTCCTGGGAGCAAATGACTCCACTTTGGTCCCCTTATTTCCTTTATTTAACAGAAGTACTAATAAATAGTACAACGTGAGTATCCCTTGAAAAAATTATGCTATGTGACTGAAGTCAATCACAAAGGCCACATATTATATAACTCCATTTATATGTCGGAGCAGAAAAGGGAAATCTAGATACACAGAATAGATTGTTTCTAAAACTGGAGAGTGGAAGAGGAAGTCGGGAAGATTGGGAGTGATAGCTTAAGGGCAGAGGACTTTCTTTTTGAGATGGTGAAAATGTTCACAATTTTGCTGTAGTGATCATTGTATATATCTACAAATATGTTGAATACCAATAATGTATGTTTTAATGGAGTGCACTGCGCAGTATGTGGATTACATCTCAATAAAGCTGTTCAAATAAATCAATGCATTGTTCTGCAATGCAAAAGTGTTTTGCAAGCCCATCTCCCAACCAAAGTTTTGGGGTTAAAAAGAAAGTTCTCAAGTTAACACATTTTCACAGTTACGTGTGTAGTGAGAATGCTTAAGATACACTCTCAGCAAATTTCAGATGCTATACAATATATCAAATTATCAAGTGGTAATATTGACATACAATTTTATTAGTCATTTATATGTCAATAAAGTTAGTGAGAAAAAAGTTTTCAGGTTTATCTCATATTTACACATAATTTAATTTTTTTATATTATTAAAAATGGTAATTAATTATCCTAGGGATATTCTAGTGGTTTACATTCCAAAGTTCTCTAGGGACACAAGCAAAAACTGATCTAAATTGAATTTCCTTCCAGTATAAAATGTACACCGGATAATGTAATGAACACACCTCACATTCTAAGAGTCCTTGCACCCAGGCTAGCGCTGTGGCCTTCAATTTCCCACCAGAGCCAAATGCTCTGGGATTCTTTCTCTTAAGGATAAAATGAGTGGGAAGGGGATGGGTGAAAGGTTCAAGACCAGGAGGCAACAAAGATTGAAATGGAGCCAGACTCTATTAAAGATGGGGAAATCACGTTTCATTGTCTATATTTCTAGACAACAGTCACAGTTTCATAAGTGGACTCCCAGTCTTAGGTTAAGACCTTGACCCCTAGAGGACAAAAGGCCCTCTTGTTCTAGTGTGGCCTGTCGTACTGAATCGTCACCTTTAGGTTCCGTACTTGTTCCACCTGGAAATTCAATAAAAAACTCCTTGCGCACTCCTGTGCCCAAGTGTACACAAAATGTCGGGCACAGTCAGCCCTAACCCAGGAAAAGTTTTTATTTGAATGCAAATGTACCAGGCCTGGTAAGGTTTGGAGGAGCTCAGGCTGGTTTGGAAGAGCCTAGCGTCCTCCCGCCTGCTGTCACTCAGGCATGAGGGGGCGGGGCCTAGGGAAATGTCCAATGAAGGACGCCGCTGGGGCAGGTGGGTGGGGTGAGGCACCGAAGCGGCGTGTGGGTTCCTTCTCGCTCCAGCTTCTGTGGGGTTTGCTAATCTTCTGTCGTTAGCGGTCCCTGGTCGCTGTGCTTCAGCCTCCGTCCTGGTGTAATCTGCGCTGGCATGGGAGTCGTGGGAAGGACTCAGGGAAACCCAGGAAACCCAGAAATGGTGAGTGTACCGGAGCCGGGTCGGGAGACCAGGACGACGGGCCGGTTGGAACCGTTGGCTGGACGGCCTCCCGGCGGTCAGGTCCGGAGTCTGCGGACCCGAGTTCCCCGGGGGCGTCGCTAGGAACTCAGTCCCCTCCAGCTCGCTGTGTGGGGGCTGGGCCGACAGCCGGGACCCCGGGCGTCCAGTCGCGTCACTGCGCAGCGTCTTAGACCCCGGCGCCTCTCTGGGCAGCTCCGCGCACACAGACAGCCCCGTGTCTCCCCAGACGGTGCGGTGGGAGGGTCATGGGGACATTAACTGGGAATTCCGACGTGGGAGTAGCTGTGGGGTCCCCAGTTCCTATTTTCACCCCAGTAGTACCTATTTTCTCCTGAGGTTTCCAAATGTTTGAGAAGCAGGGTCTGAAATTCACTACGCTGCCCCCACCCCCCACCAGTTTAGCTCTTCCTCGGACTGGCAAAAAAAAAAAAAAAAGCCTAAATTTGAGATCCCCGCCTTCCCAAACACCAACTTCTCTGTGATTCACGTCACTGTCAAATGTTTGTTCATGGTGCACTTCAAACAGACACAGTATTTTAAACTTTATCATTTTCCCCAAGAGGCATGATGGGTCATTTTTTTAAGATTATATTTGTCTCTGGATATTTTATGTAAAAGGGAAACAAAATAACCACCTTAAACTACTTCCCATGAAATCGTTATGCCTGACCGCCCAGGATCTTCCCTAGGCACAGAGATCCTATAGGAAGTCTTTTGGGTGGAGGTTCCGCTTTGGAAACTTCCTGGGTGATCTCTCCTGCCAGCACTGCCCCTTTCCTGAATTTGTCACCATAAAAAGATTTATTCACTTAGATCTCTGTTTTTCAGTAAGGGTAAAATGCATTTAGTCTATAGAGCTTAAAGACAGTTTAAAATACTTCCAAACAGGCAATAAAGATGTGAATATGAGAAAAAGTAAAATATTCCTGTAGTGCACTTTGTTAAGAATTCTGATTCACTCTTTCTTTCCCCTAGCTGTTGTGGTAGGTTTCTCAGGCCTCTTCCATACTTCTGGTTGTTTTCAAATGAAATTCCAGGGGTCAGACTTACAGACCAGAAGTGTTCAAGTATGATTAAAACCAGTTTCTTGCCATACAAATAATAATTAACTGGCATCTACTTTTCTTTGCTTTTTTTTGGTCTTGGTTTTGGGTTTTTTGTCATCTATTCATCTGAAAGGAACAGATATTTACGGCTTTCTGGCAGGACTAGTAAAAATGCTATACAATTTTCTTCCTTTCTTTCCACATAAACATTGGGTTTAAGGGATTTTGCTAGGTTGTTCAAAAACTAGATTTGTATTGTCAACGTAAGAAACATTTAAACCTGTAGAGACATTTTATGTGTTTATGTGAGCCAAGCTGACAGCAATTGCCAGGAAGTAAAATCTGGAGAGGAATAAGGGTTTACTTGAAATCCATGGGTGGTAGATTGGGGGGAGGGAGAAGCAAATCAGTGGGGGTGGGGAGGAATCTTGTGGATTGGCTAAGAAGTAAGAAAACAAACAGCTACAAACTTCTTTTAGGAAGGTGGGTATGGGATAGTTAACACTTAACAATTAACACAATAACAATGACAATGAGGGGTTGAATGGTCTCTGCTCTGGTGCAGTGAGGGGTCCGAAAAAAGGAAATCACCCTGACATTCCAAAGCTATGTTATCATAGGTGCAAAAACATAATAGCCAGACTCAGTTAAGGTAAAGATTGGCCTTTGTCAGGGAAGATGCGGGCCTAGGACAAGACTACCTGCCATGACCTGCTTTTAGTTAAAAAGTTTTAAGCGCAGATCATCCTCTGTTGTTTCTTTAGGTCTCTGCGTTTGTAAGGCTGCCATTCAGGCCTCCCCTGAGCTTGTCAGTTTTAGTTCTGTGGCCTCTAGTCCCAGTGTCAATTTCAATTATCAACAGCGTTTCAAGTACCTCCCTTGCTGGAGCACAATCTAAAGCCCCCTGCAAAGGGAAACACTTGAAGGCCCAGTGCATCTTCCTGGGGAGCCTCCCCCTACATGTGTCCTTGGGGCTCACACCCACCAGGGAAGGGGGCTGTGCCCTGAGAGAGGCTGCAGCCCTGGGAAGCTGCGGGTGCACCTGCTCAGGGGGGTTAGGGATCCCTGATGCTCCTGAGGTTGTAGTTTTCTAGGCCCGGACGTTTTTAGACCTTATGTTTGAGTTTTGCATCCACAGTGTAGGTGCCCGCAGTGTAATTTGTACACGTGGAGAAGGCTGTGAAGATCAGGGTTCTGTCTTCTTGACAAAACATTTGTTAATTTGGGGTTCATTTGGATCAAAGTTAAACTAGGCCAGGCTGAGAGTTCCCTCACTTGTGAGAAGGGACGCCTCGGGGAGGGAGCGCGTCCCTGCTCGCAGGAGGGGAGGGTGTGTGGCTCCCAGAGTGCACTCCTGGGGCTGCTCAGGTGTCACTTCCCCTGGGACTGACCCACTCTAGAAGTTGTCAGCAGGGAATGTTTAGATCTTAAGTCTGGAAATATGTTAAACATTCTGAATGTGAGTTTCCTTTTGAACTGTAGGAAAGCGGGCTGCTTGTGTTTTTCGATTCCAATATTTGTGTTTCTTTTCTTGGATTTCTTTTTCCATTGAAGGCTGCAGCCCTTTGTGTTCTAGTTTCCATGGGCACTTGGGCTTTGTTTTGTTTTAAAGATTTTATTTATTATTTATTTTTAGACAAAAGGGGAAGGGAGGGAGGAAGAGGGGGAGAGACAGCATTGTGCTGTTGCCTCTCATGTGCCCCCCCCCCCCCCAACTGGGCATCCTGCCGGCAACCCAGGCATGTACTTTGACTGGGAATCAAACCAACGACCCTTTCTCTCGCAGGCCCGTGCTCAATCCACTGAGCCGCACCAGCCAGGGCAGGGTTTTAAAGTGTAATTAATTCTGTCTAAACCTCATACATGGCAGGAGACTCCCCATCCTGGCTGTAACTGGACTTACGTGACTGCATTTCAGAAACCTCTCACTGGGAGGTGGGCCCCTTGTCTCAACCCTCGTTAACACAGGGGAGCTCTTCCCCGTCCACTCTTCCTGGAGCGCAGGTGCGGCCAGGGTGCACCCCAGCTCCGCTTCCCTTCTCTGAGCCGCCTGCCTCTGCTCTGCCCTAGAGTTTCACCCAGAAAGATAGAGTGGGTCCTGTCCCAGCTGCCATCCTGTGTGAGCCCTTGGCTGGTCCTTGCGGCTTCCATAGAGACCGCCTACCTCTGACTCCTAGATGGACTTACTTAAAAAAATAAAATAAAATATAGATAAAGTCAGAGATGGGAGGTGGATGCTTTTAAGTTTTTAGGTAGTGTTTCCATTTTTAGCTCATGATTGTGCATGTCCCTAGAGAACATTGGCATTTAAAAGGGAATACTACTCCTAATTTATTTTAATGGATGGGAGGAAAAGGCAATTAAATATCTGCTTTTATTGATATGAGGAAAACATCTCAAAGTTTATGTAAATCTGTGTAATTCCTAGTCCTTTTCAGAACTTAATTGAAATCCCTTAATGCATCATAATATATGCTACTCATTTCTTAAAATATCCTTTGTTTCATACATAGTGGAGGGACAAACTATTATGTCCCTTGTCCTTTTAGTTAGAGATTTGTAAAAATCTTATGATTTTTTTTATATCCATTAGTAGTTTTAAGTCTTGGAGTAGTTTTTTATGCAGAAATTAACATTAAGTTAACTTTAAAAAGCAAAAGTTAGTTAAAAATAATGAGTACGTAAGAGAAAGTATGGTATGTCTACATTTCCTCCCTTGTTTTATATAAATAATTAATGGGAAAGTATAAAAATTCCTGAGTTAGGAAACTAACTTCAGAAGCTTCCCTGCCCTCATTCTGCTCCACTCCTGTGCTCTTACTCCATCCTCCCTCAAAAAACCAGCTTTGGTCACTTCTTTGATCACTTCTTGTTAGTGTTTCTTTATATTAACACAAACCAGTGCAAATGCCATTATTTCTTGCCCATGTTTATTCTTGTCATGAGTGGTCAGGCTCTAAATGCCTGATGTTTGACTCCAGAAAACTTAAGGCTCAGCCCTCCCTGTCTCCCTGGTCCTTCTTATCTGTCAGGCTGATAAGAACCTGGAGGCTCCTGCTCTGTGAGCTGCTGCTTGCTGGGCGCCCCTCCTGTGCTCTGTGCTGCCCTGTGACACATTGTTGACCCGCCGAGCCTGGGTTGTGTATACAGAGGACTCAGTGGAGAGTTGTGGTAATTGCTCGCCCTTTGGGAGCAGGAGTAAGGGAATTGGACCCTCCTCATAGCCGGCTTGGGTCGATACCTTGCCAGAACCCTACTGTGTGTTTTGTATGATCATGTGAGTGAATCTAGGGTCCTCCCAACATTAGAGGGGGAATTAGGGTAGTATGAGGGTAACTCTACCCTGTGAACGAGGTGAGCCCGTACTCCTTAAAGAGTGACTTTTTCAGAGTGGGCTGAGTCCACTCTCCTAATACAAGAGGGCTCACTGGGACCCGTAAGTACCTCTGTTACTGCTGTCCCTGTCTCCACTGCAACACAAACCTGCTGCTCTGAGTTCTGGGAGACAACACCCAGAACCTCACTGAGGCACAGCCAAGCGATTCGCTTAAACCCCTTTCAACCCAGGGCACTTCAACTTTATTAAGCAACCAGTGCCCGTTGAGGAGGCTGGCAACGCTGGCGGCAATGATGTGAGGCCCTCTGGAGGAGTGCGCTTTACAAATACCAGAGCATCCCCCGCCCAAATATACCCAGGACCTAAAACACAAAACGGGAAGGATCAGGGGTGGGGAACAGAGGGGGAAAGGTACAAAAACAAAGGTCCACAATTTGACCTAATTGCAAATTCAAAATATACTGAAAGAATTTAACATAACAGGAAAGAAGAAAGGTCCCTGTTTGATTTTTGGTTCTCTGCAACATAGGTTTGAAATATTAGTGATATCTTCTCTCATAGACTGATTTACAAAATTTTTTATAATTAATCAAATTAGATGTCTATGTACAGATATACCTGGGGACCCCACTAAATTTAAGCAACTTACCTCATCATCTCAGGGAATTCTTTGTGCAGCACAGAGGACAAGTAGGTGGACTTTGCCTTAACCAGCGGAACTCTCACCTTGCCCAAATGCCTCACAGTTATCACCCATTGTCCTAAAATACCCCCCCGGGAAAGCTCTGAACTTGTGATTCACAAGGTAAAATTAAGTCTTTACTACTTTCAAATTGGCTTGACAAAGTAGATACCACAGAACTTACCATCCAACTAAGATCTTTAATTTAAAAATTCAGTTACAGTTTACATTTAACATTATTCTGCATTAGTTTCAGATGTACAGCAGAGTGGTTAGAAAATCATGTACTTTACAGAGCGGTTGCCTCCCTGATGCTTCAAGCAGCCACCTGGCCCCATACATAAATCTCACCATATTATTGGCTGCACTTCCTACACTGTAATCCGTGTGACTGTTCTCTAACTACCAATTTGTTGCTCAATCTCTTCAGATTTTTCACCCTCCTGCTCACTGCCCTTTTGACCACTGTCAGTTTTCTGTTTCTGTGAGTCTGTTTCTATGTTGTCTGTTTTTTTGTTTGTTTGTTTGTTTGTTTTTGTTCCCTCAACTAATATTAATTAGTTAACATGGCCCATTTTATAATGAATTAAACAGGACCTTGAATGATTGAAAACCATTGTAAGCATCCGTTTAGGAAGAAGTGTTTATCCCCAGTGCTTCTCTTTTAGCAGCCTTATTTGGTCTGCTCTTGAACCTGGGAAAAATGAATGACGCCTCATGGTGGATTCCTGAAACCTTGAGGTTGTGATCTCAGTAGATAAAACCTATACCCAGCCCCCAACATCATGGAAGGAAATTACGAGCTCCTTCTACTCAGCAACTGGTAAGTGTCCCACAGATTTGGCTAAGGTTGTTCCTAGATGCCGATTTTAACAGCCTCTCAACTGCAGTTGGCCTTCACCTCTGAAGGGACATGCTACGTACACCTTTACCTGGTTCCTCTCAGGAAACCTCAGTCGCCTTGCCGTCCCTCAGCCTCTGCAGGCAGGATCTGAACTCCATCAGGTTTGCTCCAGGAGCAGGGATGTGACATCACACTCATGACAGCCCTCTCTGGGGACATTTATTTCACATTCATTCAGTACATAGAAATATTGAAAAAAGGAGTTTGCAAAAAGTGGATGGCCATTGACCTACACATATTGTAAGGCCCTAGTATTTGGTTAAGGTCCAGAGAATTATTTGGTAATCAGACAGCTGCTCCATGCTTTTGGTGTCGGGGAGGCAACATATTCCTTGTTTACAAGTTTTACTTGAGCCCGTTTATGCTCTAACTAGCAAATTAGCCCACCTTGAGGGCACCCCTATGACAGAAGGCTCTAGACCATTTAAATTGCCACAAATAGGCACTCCTGTTAGTGCCTTTTGTTTTGTTTACTTGTTTGGTTTTTGTTTTTTAAGAGAGATGGGAAGGGAGGGAGGAAGAGAAGGAGAGAAACTTCAGTGTGATAAAGATAGATTGGTTGCCTATTGTACATGCCCGAACCTGCAACCTAGGCATGTGCCCTGACTGGGAACTGAACCGGCAATCTTTTGCTTTGTGGGACAACCACCAACTGAACCACACTGACCAGGGCTCCTGTTAGTGTCTTTTGAGTCACCCTCCCTGTAGAGGCTTCAGTGACCTCTTATGCCTCATGGAGTTACCCGTGGGAACCTGCCCTACGCCCTACACTATATTCCATTACAACTACAGTTATCATCGTGTACTGGGATCTCTTGAAAATAAAATCTCATCATAAACAGTGAGCATGTTATCTTTGCTGAGCTGACCGTTCTGCCTTTGGCCTGGAAAACGGTACTCCACCCAGTAAGGACACCTGCTGATATGTCCATGTGATAAGACGGATCCAAATCATAGTCCTGTGGCTTAAACCACCTGCAGAATGGTGGCACCTTCTCCGTTTAGTCTATTGAAAGATACTGTGAAGATGGGAAAAGTTACCACTCTCCCAAACAGTGTCCTCAGGGATTCTTTGGGGTTTGCTGAGTGCACGGGGCTGGGGAATGCACACCCTTTCAGGATGACAGTACACACATAATGATGGGTCTCAGTGGAGAGGTGCTGCCCTTCGTCTCTTAATTGGGATATTCCTGATCAAGGACCAAGCCCCAGGGTCACACAACTCATCAAACAGCAGGCAGTCATCTTACTACTGGCCCGCAGTTGGCCCCGTCAGCATATGTTCACAGACTCTAGGACAATTGTCTAACATGGTCCCTTTGTGGTAAAAGAATTCTGGGGATGTCTTTAATAGATACCCAAAATATAAATGGAGGTAACACTTTTCTGTACATTACTAAGTCCACTATACCAGGACTCACCAGGAAACTGCTGAGCCACATTGGAGTTCCGGAATCTGCTCATAGTAACCATGGGATTCTGAGAATAAACAACACCGCACTCTCCAGCAGGGCATTTCATGGGAGTTTTACCTCCCTTACTGGTCTCAGGCCATAGAGCACCATGCTGGCTTATTGAAGCTGGTTCAAAGCAGTTGAATGAATGACATCCTGTTTCAGTCATCGGTCAGCCACGGGAAGTAAATTGTGATGAGTCTGTCTTTATCTTTGTAATGTACTTTCTTCCAGAGCAGTTTTAGGTTTACAGAAAAGGTGATCACAGAGTAGAGAGAGTTCTGTGATGAATATTAAACAAGTTAAAAGCAGAACCTCCCAACAAGAATGTTTTCATTCTGCCAGCTTCGTCTATGTACTAAAGGCCTGAAGTACTTTAGGGACAAAATAGCCAGGTGGACCTTATTAAAGGTTGATTTCCACGGCTTTCCTGGACTCCCCATGTGTGATGTTGGTAATAGAAAAAAAAGTTTTCAGTTCTTCACTCTGTTTTTACTGATTAAATAATATATTGATTTGACTCTTCCCTCATGGAGGTCTGTATGTAGTAGATAATAAGGAAGGAGATGAAAGAATTTTTTTCACAAAGTATTGATAGTCTTAAAACCAAAATACTTGTTTCATTTTTATCGCATTCTGCTATTTCCCACCATACTGTGGACTCTGCCATTAGAGAGCAATAATGTGTAATGTGATCACAGTAAAAGTGCACAAGTAATTTCCATGTCTTCCTGAGTGTGGGCAGTAAGTTCATGATGATCAGTCATAGAATAAATATTTCTATGAGATGACAGAATCATGTGTCTTTTATATAAATGGGGTCTAGGTGTCCAGTGCTGTCAGTCTCATTCATTCCACACTACATATATTTGGGGTGTTTTAGGACTCACTGGCCATTGAGGATGTGGTGGTGACCTTCACCGTGGAGGAGTGGGCCTTACTGGATTCTTCACAGAAAAAACTCTACAAGGATGTGATGCGGAAAACCTTCAAGAACCTGGCCTCCGTAGGTGAGGATGACAAATTACCTTCCGTTCACCAATTGGAGAACAAGTGTCTGTTGCTTATTGGTGTTTTTTCTAAGATTTGGATCATGAAAAGGTGGGACATTGGTAAATAAATTTAATATGGTCACAGCTACAAATAAACCTAGAATCTACTATTTCTCTAATTTTAATATTTTGGGGTTTTTTTTTTTTGTTGTTTACATTTTAGGGAAAAAATGGGACACTCATGACATTGAAGAACTGTATAAAAACCAGGGAAGAAAACTAAGGTGAGTGGCACAGTAATAGTGGCTGGTTGAAAATCTGATTTGTTATGAAATTTTTTTAAAGGAAACAAAACAAATAATTCTTGTTTCAAATTTAGTTACTGTATTAGAAAATGTTCACGAAAAATGCCATTTGTATATATGACATAGGTGTTCAGTGTTTGCAAAAGAGCTTACTTCAAAGTAGTATTAAATTTTTATGATTATTACTGTTTTAATAATAGAAAGGGTAAAATCCTCTTGCAGGACATTTTTTATATTGAACTGTAAACAATTGAGACAAAGCAGAACACCTATACTTTTTGTTTGTTTGCTTTTTTATAGAGAGAGGGGAAGGGAGGGAGAAAGAAAGGGAGAAAGACATCAATCAGTTGCCTCGTGTACGCCACCCTGGCGTGGGACCGAACCCACAACCCAGGCATGTGCCCTGACTGGGAATCGAACCAGTGACCTTTCGCTTTGCAGGACGACACCCAGCCAACTAAGCCATACGGGTCAGGGCTAGAACACCTACACTCTTCATATAAAGGGGTAGTTTAAATATTCAAATAAATAAAAAATTGTTAATAAAATCCATTAATACTGTACTTCTTGTGTTTTACAGAAATTATATGGTAGAGAAACTCTGTGAAAATAAAGAGGGTAGTCAAAGTGGAGAAAACTTCACTCTTATTTCAAATATGAATCTGAACAAGAAAACCACTGGAGTGAAACCACATGAATGCAGCACATGTGGAAAAGTCTTCATGCATCATTCGTCCCTTAATAAGCACATCAGATATACTGGACACAAATGTTACAGCTATAAAAAATATGGGGAAAAGCTATATAAGTGTAAAGTGTGTGGGAGAGCCTTCAGTTATCACCAATGGGCTGAAAAACATGAGAGAAATCATTATAAAGAGAAAAAATATAAGTGTAAGGAATGTGGGAAAACATTTTGCGCTCATGCATCCCTTCAAACACATAAAAGGATTCACACAGGAGAGAAACCCTACAAATGTAAGGAATGTGGGAAAGCCTTCATGTGGCAGACAGGATTTCGGAGACACATGATAATGCACGCTAGAGATTCTCCATATAAATGTAAGGAATGTGGTAGAACCTTCAGTTGTTCCACTTCATTGAGGACACATGAAAGAACTCATACTGGAGAGAGACCCTATCAATGTAAGGCGTGCGGAAAAGCCTTTAGATCTTACAGTTCCTTACAAATACATGAAAGGACTCACACAGGAGAGAAACCTCATAAATGTAAGCAATGTGGTAAAGCTTTCAATTGTCCCAGTTCTTGCCGAAAGCATGAAAGAGCTCATACTGGAGAGAAACCTTACGAATGTAAGGAATGTGGGAGAACTTTTGGTGGTCTCTCAGGCATTCGCGTACACATGATCACTCACACTGGGGAAGGACCTTATAAATGTAAGGAATGTCATAGAGCTTTTATTTCTCCCAGTTCATTTCGGATACATGAAAGGATTCACACTGGGGAGAAACCCTATAAATGTAAAGAATGTGGTAAAGCCTTTAGTTATTACTCTTCTTTTCAATTACATGAAAGAACTCACACTGGAGAGAAACCATATGAATGCAAGGACTGTGGGAGAAGCTTCCCTCGTTACCAAACCTTAAAACGGCACATGGGAGTGCACACTGGAGAGAAACCCTACGAATGTAAACAATGTGGTAAAGCCTTCAGGTATTATCTTCCCTTCCAAAAGCATGAAAGAAGTCATTCTGAAGAGGAAACCTGTGCATGTAAGCAATGTGGTAAAACCTACAGAGATTACAGTTCCTTAGAAACACATAAAAGAACTCATAATGGAGAGAAACCCTATGAATGTAAACAATGTGGTAAAGCCTTCAGATGTTTATCTTGGTTTGGGAAACATGAAAGAACTCATACTGAGGGGGGACCTAATGAATGCAAGGAATGTGGGAAGGTCTTCTCTCGTAACCAAACCTTAAAAATACACATGAGGGTGCACACTGGAGAGAAACCCTACAAATGCCAACAGTGTGGTAAAGCCTTCAGATATTCCTCTTCGTTCAGAATTCATAGAAGAAAGCATGAAAGAAATCTTTGGAATGTAAGCAGTGTGGTAAAGCCTATGATTCCTTAAAAACACAAAAAACCTCATGGGAAGCCCTATTGATACCAGAGATTTGGAAGACCTTCAGGTGTTATCAAAGTTTCTGATGACATGAAATCACACAGGAGAAAAACACTGAATGGAAACATGGTAGAGTTTTCTCAACAAGGTTTTTAAATACATGAACTCACTGAAGAGGAATTCTGTGAATTTAAATATGGTAAAGTTTTTGTCACACTAGAGATAAACAAATGTAAAGAGTATGGAAAGGCTGTAGTCATACCAGCTCCTTCCAAAGTCATGAAAGGACTCACTGGGTAAAACTTGCTGAGTGTAAACTATGTGGGAACAACTTCTAATTGTCTACATTCTTACATGTGAAAACTTTCACCAAACAAAACAAATAGAAGTAGCATGAAAAAGCTTAATGGAAATTAATCCATGTATAATGTTCCAGACAACAACACGAAAGTTATTAATAAAGTTGTAAATAGCCTGGCCGGTAGCTCAGTTGGTTAGGGTGTCATCTAGATATGCCAAAGCTGTGGCTTCAATCCCCAATCAGACCACAAAGAAGAAACAATCAATGACTATAAATAAGTGGAACAACAAATTGTGCATATTGAAGTGACATTCTTGCACTATAAATATGTACTATTCAACAACAGTACATAAGATTAGTAGGTAGTGCCTGTTTCTTGAATCTATTTTTAAAAAATTTTTGAAGCCTGTTGGATTGATGGGTGAGTTGAAGTGTATTTCAAGTATGCATTTAGGTTTAATTTTTTTTTTTATAATGTTCTGTGCTAAGAGGCCGTTGAAATTTGACAGTGTGGTATTTGTTGGGATTTTCCAACTGGCCTTGTGGCAGTTTCTGTAGATTTCTAGTTCATTATATATATACTACCTTCCTTAGTGACAAAGTTTCTCTTAGATTTCAAATATAAGAGGCTGACTTCATATGTGTAAACACGTATGTTGAGTATGACAAGTTTATGGAAGAATATGGTTTCATGTGAATTATTTTCATATTTGGACTTCTACTTTTGGTTCTTTTTTCTGACTATTCACTGAGTAGACTTTAAGAAGGGAGACCTGTGACAGGACAAAAACCTAGAGCTGGGATGTATCCCTGTGAGTAATAGCTAGGTTTTCTGAAATCCATCCCCTTCATGGTTCCTTCTTAGAATTCACCAGTACCTTTACTTGCATAAGATTTCAGAAAGCAGCAAAGAAGGCCATAGTCAGATTTTGAAGGCATCATTCAGAAAGAACTACATAGGAGTTTCAAAGATAACCACCTTTTATTCCATTTTCTGGACTTTTTTTGTACTTCCAATCAAAAGTATCCTCAAAACTACCACCAACTGTTTCATATGCATTTGCTAAGAGATGGAGATTTCCACTCTACATCTGTAGAGATATTTTCAGAAGATCCACATCAAAGTTCCATCAGAGTTTGGATTTTTTAGTCAGCCCTCTTGTCCACCAGGGAACAGCAGGCCTTTGAACTTGGGAATATCGTCTGATTCCCCTCTCCTCTAGATTATGTCCATTTAAGGTCTAGTTTGTATAGGAAACACCTTATGTTGTCAACAGTGCCAGTCAGCAGGTGGTCCGGACTCACCATGACATCTACACTTGTGTGCTCACAAAGACAGATGTAGGGGTTTGGTTCTCCAATGCGTTGCACACCGGCTGCCTTGACCTGGTCCTTTTATTTGAAAATGTGAAAATAAACACATTTTTTCTCTTTGGAAGACTGGAGTGGGATGGTCCTGTTAGTTGTAGCTGAATGTATTCTTTCAATGTTTTTAATTACTTTTGATGGTATCTGATTAAAACTGGTTTTTTGGTCAAAGGATGCTTCTGTTTTTCCATTCCAGAAATATTTTATTACTGTTTCCTAAGTTGTAAGGTGCTAACAAATAGAACACACATGCACCACTTAATAATGGGGATACATTATGAGGAATGCATTGTCAGGTGATCTGTCATTGTGCAGATGTCATAGAGTGAACTTACACTAACCCAGCTGCCATAGCCTGCTGCACACCTGTGCTGTATGGTCTAGGCCATTGCTCCTAGGCTGCATGTTTGTGCAGCATGTTAGTGTACTGAGAACGGAAGGAAATTGTAGCAGGGAAACTTGTGTATTTAAACATCTAAATGTGGAAATGGGATAGTAGAAATAAAGGGTGTTTGTTTTTTTAAATGGTACACCTGTATAGGACACTTAACTATGAATGGAGCTTGCAAGACTGGAAGGCATGTGGGTGAATCAGTGAGCAGCGAGCGTGCAAGTGTAGGACGTCACTATATACTACTGTAGACGTGCAAACACTATGCTTAGGCAACAAAAGTTTATTTTAAAATTTTCAATAAACAGTTTAACTTTTTACTTTATAAACTTTTTTAACTTTTGACTCCTGACACTTAACAAAGCAACTGTTTAGAGGGAGAAACACCACTTTTGATATTGAGATGAAGGTCAATAAAAAATGATGCCTGGGAGCATTATCAACAGTAAGCAAAATCCAGCAAGATATGTTATTTTCCAAGCAGCATTTCTCCAATTTGCTGCACTAGTAACTCAGGAAGGTGTCTTGGAAGGGGAGCTGTATCATCCATGACTTCTTGCAGCCCCCGCAGCACCCTGGCAGTGTGTGCTCACTGAAGCACTCGAAGGCCTTGGGAGTCTCACTACCAGATCACAGAGGGCTTCCACTTGTAGCCTGTAGCGTTGCTCCCAAGCTAGACTCCTCTGTCCTTAAAAGCCTTGAACCCTGGCATTGACATGGTCTCATGGATGAAAGTCCTCTCAGGCATCCGTTTCAATAATAGGGAGGTTTTCAGAAAGTGACAAACTGGTGAAATAAACCTTTGCTGCAGATGTGGGCCCCTTCTTACTAACTCGCTGAGAACTTTGGTCATACCACCTCTCAGCTCATTGCTAACCCCTATTCCCACCTTTTCTCATGCTGTGCTACCTCCAGGGCCCACTAGGGGGCAGGCACTCCCAGTAACAGGACTTGGACTTGGGCCAGGCTCTGGGCTCTAGAGAAGGACGGGAACTGAGGCCAGAGACTCTCCTATCCAACCCTCTCAGATGACAAACGGGGAGACTGAGTCAGGTTTTTCCAGTGCTGAGCGCTCACGGTTCAGTGCAGGGATCTCTACTCCCAAAACTCAGGATACTGCCCCCCCACCCATCCCCACGCTCACCTCCAGACTCACTCACCTCCTGATACTAGTGCATCTCTGTGTCCAGCAGCTGCAGGTAAGTGAGAAAGGTGCTGAGGAAGGAGACGACCACCTGTGCCATCAGTGTGGGAGTGGTGATCTCAGGTGTTCCTACAATCCTCCCCTGAGATCCCTCACCTTCAGCCTCCTGACCCCAAGCAAGGCTCCCACATGGAGCAGCCTCCCCCAATTTCTCCCACCCCCTCCTCCCCTCCAGGACACTCAATCCCTTCCCAGGGCAAATCCCAGGTTCAGAGGTCCCTGCTCCTCCGCTCCTCAAATCCCTCATGTCAAGGCACAACGGCACTGAAAGACTGCACTGCTGGGCAGTCGTCCTCTCTTACGGGACATCATGAGGACAAGCGAGGCCCCAGCTCCTGGCCGCGGGGAGTCCTGGTCTGTGAAATGGCAAGTTGCACAGAAACCTGTAGAATAACTGATCCCGTTTTCCTTTTTGTGTACAAACCATCCTATTAAGTGTGATGTGTGTGAGGCTTGGAGAAGGTTTGAAGGGACAGTGAAACTGACTGCTACACAGGACACCTGAGGCAGGTAGTTCAAACAATCAAAACAGCAGCAAAATACAAGATGCTCATGGACTAGTGTGAAGTCAAACAACATACAGTCTTCTCTAATAATTCCCACAAACATGCGAGAACTGACTTTCTATTCTCCCACCGGCTGGTGGGGTGGGGAGGGGAGTGGAGGTGCAGATTCTCTGGGGAGTGGGACAGTGGACACTCTAGTGGGAAAGCTCTCAGAGGACCCTGGGAAATTCCCCGGATCTGAGTCTGGGATCTGGGCCTGCCCGTGCGATTTCAGGGTCTTGGAGACAGAGAACCACCTGCACCCACTCTCACCTCAGACCAGCTCCTCTGTGATCTCCTGAATGGAGCTCTGTAGAGACAGTGCCCAGCATCCAGGCAAAAAGACATCAGGGGCTGGCCTGGGCATCACCACAGCGAGTAGTCCCACCACAAATTCTGCTCCCAGACCAGGCACAGGTGGCAGCCAGGGAGGGAACAAATGACACCGGGAGGGGCCCAAAATTACAAGTGACCGGATGAGCTCCGTCCCCAGAACTCACCTTCTCACCTTGCCAGCCTGACCTGGTATTCACCCTTGACACACCAGTCGAGTTTCCAACACCTCACAACTTGCTCCTGCGGGAGAAGGCCCCCTCCCCACTGCCTTTTTCACACCCCAACACACACAGAAAAGGAGACAAGGGGTGTGTAGCTGTTCATGCGGGATCACAGTTGAGAGCTGACCAAGACTGGCCTGCCCTGGGCTACCCTGTTACCTGAGGGTTCACCCCACCGAATGCTCAGAGGTATGGGAGGGGAGGCCTGAGCCACTGTCTACAGTGAGTGAAACAGCTTTCCCTCTCAGCTTTCCAGAATCCACAGCCTCAGGAAGTTGGGAGGGAACTGGGGAACATGCTGCTCTCTCAGCCGCCTCCAGCCAAGTGAGCCGGAGAGAGGCCAGTCTCCAGAATGCGCGTGGCTGGTTACCAGAGTTCTAACTTCTGTTTTGTTCTGTCACCAAGGATATGAGGTCATCTTCCTCGAGAGTCCATTACCTGGCCCCTTTCTTCAATCGGACCCATTTAGAGTCCCCTCTGGGCCCATGACCGCTCACCCTCCTCGCCCGTGTCAGCTGTATGACTGCACAGACACCCGGCACAGCCCTCCCCATAGCTCCCTGGGAATGTAACTCCAGTTCCAGCCTGGAGCAGACAGAGCTGAGTTCAGATCTCTTAGTTTCTCCTGTGGGCTGCTGTCTCCTGTGTCTGATGCAAAAACAGATGGAAGAATTACAGGAAAAGGTGGAATGGAGCATGGAATGCCACTTAAAACAGGCCTGGGTTTCAGCTGTCTGCCCTTGGGGAAATCACACCCCTCTGGGTCCCATTTTAAGATCTGCACCTTTAAGTGGTTGAAAATAAGAAAATTCAGATGTGGTCATCCCTCCGTAAAATTTTCTGTGGTCTCCTGTTATGCATGGAATCAGACCTCGTGCCTCATGAGGGCCCACGTTGTGCACAGGCTCCACGTTGGCTTCCAGTGGCCCCAGCCTTCCGCTCTGCACATCTTTGTGTCACAACTGAGTCGCTAGTAACTGGCTTCTGCACAGCAGAACACGGCCAAGGTGGTGGGATGTCACATTCAAGTTTTTACTTCCCTCTTACTCGCTTCCTTGAGTTCCCCTCTTTCTCTCCCTTTCCACCCTCCCTCTCCCTCTTCCTCGTTCTCTCCCTCTCCCTCCCCTGACCCACTCCCTCTCCCTCTCTGTTATACCTCTGGAATTGGGAGAAAAAGCTCCATGTAGCTGCCCCATAGGACAGAACTGAGGGAGTGCCCAGCCAACTGACAGGTAGAAACTAAGGACTCAGTCCAAAATGAATTCTGACAACACCCATGTGTGAGTGTGGGAGCAAATCACCCCCGACAGAGCCTCAGCTGAGACCACAGCATCAGCCTGTGAGATACCTTTATTCAGTCGTATGTACTCTGCTAAGCCGTCTCCAGATGCCTGAGTCACAGAGGCTGAGATTTTTGTTTGTTTATTGATTTGAGAGAGAGAGAGAGAGGAAAGAAGAGACAGAGAGAGAGGTCAACCTGCTGTTCCACTCATCCACCGGTTGGTCACCTCTTGCATGTGCCCTGACCAGAGACTGAGCCCACAACCTTGCCGTACAGGGATGATGCTCCAACCAGCTGAGCTACCCAGCCAGGGCTATAAGATGTTAAATACTTACAGTTTCTGGTGCAAGGTTTTAGGGCAGTGTGGTTGGTGCCTCAGTTTTTCCATCTGACAATAACAATTATACCCCCTGCGACATTATAAAAAACATGGTAGAGTTAATGTTTGAAAAATGCTTGAAACACCTGGCATGTCTCAAGCTCTTTGCTCCATATGATACATTTTTAAATTTCTCTAACACTGCCTGTATGCTTCTGAGGGCAGATTGGCACCTGGCTGAATGTCAAAAGCATCCTGCAACTTATGATAAATAATGAATGACCAACACCGTTGAAATCTTGGGAGCTTACTGTGCATGGGACTCCCATTGCACGTGCAAGAAACGGGGTCAGACCACAGATCGGTGGAACTGTTTCATGGTTTGAAGCCCTTATGTCTCAGGCTTCCTGAGATCTTCCAGGATGGGACTGGGCGGAATGGGACTCTGGGCTGGGGTGCAGGTAGTTGTCAAAGTCTGCTGAGCCTTGCCAACCACCTGGCCCAGCCCAAGAAGAGGAGCAGCCACTGCCCAGGAGGCTCATACAAAACAGGCAGAGGCCAGAAAGATCTCAGGGTCCATTTCACAAGCTGCTCCTGCTGCGCATAAGGCCTTGAACTCAGATCTCCGAATGGCTTCTTTTGACTTTAAAAATTTAATGTTATTCTCAAAATTATACATGAGCATAATGTTTTAAAATATGAAACCTCTTTGTTGAGTGTGAGCTGTAGTCTTCTGCAGGGTCAGGCACAGCTGGAGGCCCGTTCCTGGTTCCAAGGCCATGATGATCATCTCCCAGGAAAAATCTGAAACTTGCGCTCCCGTGTATAATGCGCACCCATGTTTTTGGCCCAAACTTCCAAGAAAAAAATCTTTCATTTTAATTTTTTAATTCAAATTTTTATTTATATTTAAAACTGATTATCATATTCCATGGTATTATTTTGCATATGGATATTGTTACTGCTTTCTAGAGTTATACTTTTAATGCATAAGCATAAATAAAAGAATTAAAAATGTTTATATAGGTACGGAATTAGTGTTACCCATGTATAATGTGCATCCTTATTTTTCCCTCAAAAATTTGGGCAAAAATGTGCGCATTATACATGGCAATATATGGTATATGTTAAACAGTAGAGCAGCCCCTAAAAAACCTTCCAAAATGAAGTCATTTAAAAATTAAAATGCTACAATAAAAAAGATTTACTTAATGCAAAAGAAAGCTATAAAGAACTAGAGAAGCTAAAAACAACATAAGGACTGAAGAAAACAAAAAGTAAAACGGCAGGCGTAGTTGCAACTATATCAATGATACCAAATGTGAATGAATTACATGATCCAAACAAGAGGAAGAGATTGTCACCTCAGATTAAACAGCAACAACCATTATCTAAATACATGTTATATACAGGAAACACATTTTGGAATTAAAGATACAAATGGTTAAAAGTAAAAGCAGGGCAGGCCTGCCCTGGCCCTGCCAACCAAAAGGTCATGGGTTTGATTCCTGGTCAGGACACACGCCTGGATTGCAGATTCAGTTTCTGGTTGGGGCAGGTATGGAAGGCAACCAATGGATGTTTCTCTCTCACATCAGTGTTTCTCTCCCTCTCTTCCTCCCTCACTTCCCCTCTCTCTAAAAAATATATAAATAAAAATTTTTTAAAAAGTAAAAATGGGAAATTTACATCTGTAAATACCACCCACTTGAAAGCTGTAGAGATTATACAAATATCAGGCAAAATTGGCTTGAAAGTGAAAAATATCACCAGAGATATAGAGAGAAATTGTATCATACCAAAAGAGTCAAAGTTTATGGTCTGCATCTAAAACAAAACATATTTCAACCCCAGCAATCAATGGGGTGACAGATGCCACAGCCAGATCACCCTTGCATCCTAAAACAAAACATATTTCATTTTTAATAGTATTAACAAAGAAAAAAATATTAAATCAATAACTTAAACTTTGCCTTAACATACTTGAAAAGATGTGATACCACACCCAAAGAAGGAAAAAGGAAATAATGAAAATTAGTGCCGAAATGAATGAAAAGGGAAATTTAAAAAACATAGAAAATCAATAAAACCAGAAATGGATTCTATGGAAAGAGTAACAAAATTGACAAGTCTTTAGTAGGTTGATCTAGAGAAAAAGGGGGAAGATTTGAATTTAAATAATCAGGACGATAGTAGGATATTACTACTGGCATTACAGAGAATAAGAAGAATTATAAAGGAATTCAATAATTGTATGCCAAAATTTTGATACCTGAGTTAAAATGGACAAAGACCTAAAAAGAAACAAACCACTGAAAATAATTTAAAAATAAATGGGACATCTAAATGGAACTATAACAAGTGAAGTGATTGAGTGAGTAAACAAGAAAAGCACCCACAGAGTAAGCACAGGCCCAGATGGCTTCCATATAAATAGACTTATCCAAAACTTTTAAAGAAGGTTAGTATGGATTCTTTACAACTCTTTAAAAAACAAAACAAAACAAAACCCTGAATGGAGACAACCCTTCACACTCATTTTTCCAAGGCCATTACTACTATGATTCCAAATCTATCAGGTTATCACAGAAAAAAACCTAATATACCTATACTTTTGTGAATAAGGATGCAAAAACTCTCAGCAAATTCTAGCAAACATGATCCAGCAAAATATACAAACAATTATACACCACAAGCAAGTGGGATTTATTCCAGGGCTGGAAGGTTGGGCTAACATTTCAAAGCCCATTCATATAATAGACCACTAGACTAAAAAGAGAAATGGCGAGATCCTGTCAATAGACTCAAAGACAATAATTGACAAAACGCAGTACTCTTTCATAACTCACTCTGAATACCCATAATGGGAGTATATTTCCAAACCTCATTGTGAGCATCTGTGGAAAACCCACAGCTAATATTATATTTAATTGTGAAAGACTGAATGCTTTTCCCAGAAAGATAAGGGAAAAAAAGGTATCTAATTTGTCACTGCTATTCAACAATTGTCTGAATATTTTAGCCAAAACCATTTTAAGGAAAGAAATAAAATGCATACAGTTTGGTTAGAAAGATGCAAAACTACCTTTACTGCCAGATGAGGTATCTTATATAAAGAAAGCTCTTAAAAGACTATTGAAATTAGTAATTGAGTTCAAAGAGAAGGATTGAAGGATTGTAGGATTGAAGATCAAAATATAAAAACCAATTATATATTTTTACACTTCCAATGAACAATCTGATAATGAAATTTAGAAATGAAATGCACTTACAATACAATCAAAATTAATAAATATTTAAATAAATAACAAAAAAAGCACAAAAATAAATATTCTGCAAACTACAAAATATGGTCAAAATAAATTAATAAATGTATAAATAAATGGGAAAAGTATCCCAATTTCATGAATCAGAAGACAACACTGTTCTAGACATTCAGTGCAAAATCCATTGAGATCCCAGCTGTAATCTTTATAGGAATTGGAAAACTATTCTATACATTTATATGAAATTATAAATAAACCAGAATTACCAAACTGTTCTTGATAAAGGAAACAGAGTAGTAGGACTAACATCTTGATTCAAACATTGCACAAACCAAAGGGAATCAAAGTGAGTCTGGTACTGACATAAGGATAAACATACAGATCTATAGAATAGATTAAGACTTGAGAAATAAACTCCTATATGTATGGTCAACTGAACTTTCAAAAGGGTACCAGAATGGAAAAAAAACACTCTTTTTGTCATAAATCACTGCTGAGCCAACTGGATAAGCAGATGCAAAAGAAACAGGTTGTACGATGACATCACACCACACACTCTAATATTCCAAAATGGATCAAAGGTCTAAACACAAGATGAAACTACAAAACACTTAGATAAAACATAGGGGAAAATTTCTGACCTTGGATTTGGCAAAATGTTGTTAGATATGACACAAAGAAATCATGCAGAAAAACTAGGTAATTTAGACTTCATTAAATTACTAACTTTTGTGCTTCAAAGAACACCATCAACAAAGTGAAAACACTCTTGTGCAAAATTGCTGGAAATGTAAAATTATGTTGCCAGTATATCAAATCATGTTGTAATATTCAAATATAGACAATTTTAATAATCAATTTTACCACAATAAAGCTGTGCAGAGAAAAGTTTTCGAGTCCATCCCACATTTACATAATCATTTATTGTTTTTCTTAAATTAACAAAAATAGGAATCAATTATCTTAGGGATATCACACTTTTCACATTTCAAAGTTCTCTAGGGACACAGGCAAAAACTGATCTAAATTAAATTTCCTTCTAATGTAAAATGGTCGCCTAAGGATGTAATGAACACATCTCACACCCTGTGTTTAGACTGAGAAGAGTCCTTGCACCCAGGCTGCGGCTTGAGGGTTCCAATTTCCCACCAGAGTCAGGACTCTGTGATTCTTTCTCTTGAGGACCCAATGAGCGGGGGTGGGACAGGGAGGGGTGGAAGGTACCATGCTGGCAAGGATCAAAGACTAAAATGGAGCCAGATTCTTCACATTAAGTGTCTGTGTTTCTAAACATGGGTCATATTTCCCTTGTCAAGGGCTTACCGCCAAGCCCTTGACCTCTAGTGAATAGAAGACCCTCTCACTCCAGTGTGGCCTGGCTTGGGTCACCCTCTTGTCCCTACTTATTTGCTCTAGCTGGAAACCAAATCAGGATTCCCTGTGCACAACTGTGTCCTCGCCTTCACAAAGAGCTGGGGAGAAACAATAAAAGAAGCCCCAGGACTAGAAAAAGAATTTGTTTATGCTAGGTCGCCTATGGCACACAGGTTAAAGCGTTTTGAGAGAAGACAGGGTCCTCTCGCAAACTGTAATTCAGGCCCGAGGGGGCGCGGCCCTAGGAACTACCCAATCAGAGGTGCCGCTGAGGCAGGTGGGCGGGGTTATGTTTTGCAAGGGCGTGGACGTCTGTAGTCTCTGCAGCCGTGTTTTGGGGCTGGTGTCGCCAGCCTTTAACGGTCACTGGTGGCTCTGTCACAGCTTCTGTCGCATTTTGATATGCACTGGCCGTGAGGGTCATAGGAAGGACTCGGGGAGACCCATGAAACCTAGAAATGGTGAGTGCTGCTCTGAAGTGGGGAGACGGGGAAGGCCCGCTGGTCGGAACCTGCTATGGCGGAGCCGCGCCTTCCCCGCGGTCAAGTCCGGATTCCGCCTCTGCCTGGGGCCCCGCTTGCACCTCGGTCCCCTCCAGCTCGCAGCGAGGGTTCTGGGCCCGCAGACAGGAACCGAGTATCCTGTCCCGTCATTGCGCAGCAACGTCGGCTGCGGAGCGTCTCTGGGCATCTCTGCGCCCGCGGCCCCGCGTCTCCCCACATGGTGCGGTGACCACGGGGAGGGTCAACCAGGGGACAATCGTGACTCGGGTTCCGGGGGTCGTGCGTGGGAGCAGCTGTGGTCTGTGGGGTCCCCAGTCCCTTCTGCCTCCCCAGAGCGGATCCACTTTCTCCTGAGTTTTCCACATGTTTAGGAAGCGGAGTCTAAAATCCATGACCCTATTCCCACCCCAGTCTTCCTAGTGGTGGCAGTAAGTCCCTGAATTCCAGTTCCGCAGCCATTCCCTAAACCAGCTTCCTCTCTCCGATTCACCGCATCATCCACTGTTTGTTCTATAGAGTACATTGCGAAGAGACCCAACATTCCAGTTGTTTATCTTTCTCCCTCAGAGCTTTGCAAATGCTCTTTTTAAAAGATTTGTATTTGTTACCTGACCAGCGTGGATCAGTTGGTTGGGCGTCCTCCAGCAAAGCGAATGGTCGCCATTTGATTCCCCGTCAGGGCACAAGCCTGGGTTGTGAGTTCAGTTCCCGATAGGGGGGCAATTGGAGAGGCAACCGATAGATGTTTCTCTCTTACATCAGCGTTTCTCTCCTTCTCTTTCTCCCTCCTTTCCCCCCCTCTAAAAATAAATAAACGAAATCTTAAAAACACACACAAACACACACACACACACACATTTGTAGATATTTTGCATGGGAGGAACCCAGGCAAGAGCCACCTGGAAGACGTCTGTATGAAATTCCCTTCCTCTCTCCTAGGATCTTTCCTGGGCACACATATCCTGTGGGAAGTCCTTTGGGTGGAGGCTCCTCTTTAGAGACTTTCCTGAGTGGTGTGTCCTGTCAGCATTGCCCCTCCCTGGGTTTGACACTTGAAAACATTTATTGACTTATTTAAGTAAAATGTATTTAATCAAAAGAGCTTGAAACAATATAAAATAGTTCCAAACAGATATGAAAGACATGAATTAAGGAAAAAGAAAATGTTCCAGTATTACATTCCATTTTAATGTAATTCTTCTTTCAATCCCCCTGAGCATATGTAGTAAGTTTCACAGGAAATATAATTAACTGACATCTTTTTAAAAATATGTATAGAGATTTAAGGTCTTCTAATTGAACTAGTAAAAGACCTTTACAATGTTCTTCCTTCCTCTCTACATAAATACTTGGCTTAAGTGATTTTGATGGAGTGTTCAAACTCTGGATTTGTCATTTAAAGTATCAGTGGTCACCCAAACAAATCCAGTGTGAGGCAGAGGTCTGTGGTCAGTGACTCAAGCCAAGGTTCCTCTGAGCCAGTAAAGGTTCACCTACAAAACAAACGAACAAAAACATCTTTCTAAGTGAGCGGCAACAAGCATTTATTTGAGATCAATAAGAATAGCTACTTGGGAAACCCTGATTCAGTCACAAGCCCAAATAATGTTCCACTTAGGAGACAAAAGCAAGAGGTATTTATGAGAAAGCAAAGGGGAACAGTTACACCAACAGAAGAAAGGTACTTCTGTTGGTAGACATGGCATAACATAGTGTTTTAAATTTTCAGTAAGGTAGTCAGCAGTCCTTGCAAACAGTTCTTTAGGACACATGTTACTTTGGGCCCAGTCCAAAGTTTATTTTGCCTTGTTTTGACATCCCAAGGTTTGAGACCGAAGACATGCCAGGCAACTCCTCTGGGATGGAAACTCTATTTTAATGCAGTTCCACTTGTTTGTTTGTTTGTTTGTTTCAAAAGGGAAGCACTTGAAGGCCCATTGGTTCTACCTGGGAAGCCTCCCCCCGCAGGTGTCCTACCTGCTCACACCACCAGGGAAGGAGTCTACACAATGGGAAGCTGCAGCCCTGGGAAGCTGGGGTGCATGTGCACTTGGGGAAGTGTTACTTAACAAATGGACCTGTGGGGGGAGGGATGCCCAGATGCTATTACCGAAACGACACCCCCCTTCCCTGGGGTCCCTCCGTTGTAGGTCCTTTGCCTGCCGCCCTTGGAATTATGGCTCTGAATGGCAGAGTTTGGTGAAAAGGAAAGGAACTATTTATTCCAAAGTTATACAGATTTAATTAATGGCTAAACGTCACCCTTAAACCTCCAAATCCCTTTAAAACAATCACCATCACACACACCGTCCTGCCTCCCCCCCCCCCTTGCCCAGTTAGGCCAGTCAGGCCAGTCAGGGTACCGTTCTTCAGAAGAAAAAGAACAGAAGTCCGGGGCTCGGCTAGGCAGGCCTCTCGCGGGTCTCAGCACCATCCTTCAGCACCATCCGCTGCGTCGCCGCGATCTCCAGCTCTTAATCCATAACCATGTGGCACCTTCTCATGGCCCACTAGCAAGAGTCCTTTCTCCCCTCTTTCTTCCCGCGTGGTCTTCACACTGTTCCCCAGAGTCTGTGACCCTTTGTCTCTCTTGCAGGCCCCTGTCTCCTCCTCTCTCTCAGTTATATTCTGTATTAAGACTTTTTTAACCTCCCTGATTAGCTTTCGTGATAGGCAAAATAACCCTCTTTGCAAATAAGGAATGAAGCTATCCTGTTATTGACATGCAAAATGACTCTCAATTGCTCTGCTCAAGGCTCCCATCCCCCATGGCAGCCCGTCCTGGAGTAGGGAGAGTATTTTTCTTGGACACCCCAATCTCTGGACCCCATTACAAATATCCTTTGCGGGGGGGGGGGGCGGGGCCCTGGCTGTGCCCCGTTACTGAAGGAGAGTGATGCCCTTTTATTGGCTGTAATTGTGGTTTCCTTAGGCCTAGGCATTTTCACGTTTGAATTTTGCAGCTACAGTGTAGGTACAATCAGTGTGTAATTTGTGCACAGTGAGAAATTCTGTGAAAATCAGATCATCACAAAATTTTATAACAAAGGGTTTATGAATTGGGGAGTTCATTTGGGTCAGAGTCTTAAACTGGATCAGGCTGAGAGTTTTTTGCTTTTGTTTTTGTTTTTGTTTTTTTTTACTCAGTTGAATTTTTATTTACCACCCTTCACTATAACACCCAACCAGTATTGTCAACAGGCAGTCCAGTAGCTTTATTCAGTTTTTCTTCTTTGATATTTCCCAGAGTCTGCGGAATGCTTCCATTTTCCACAAGTCCATCCTGATGGAGGCTAACATTTTACTGACTAGGCAGCTCTTCCGCCTGTCTGTTGGCTATTGCTCTCTGCTCCTCTCTGTCCCCCAGCAAAGACCCCGGATCCTCAGTTCCCCCAAACACACCTAATACCGGATGGTTCAGCCTAAGGACTTTTACCACAGCCTTCCTGACAGCATCATTATCACCTAGAGAACTTTGCCAGGTAAAAGGCTATACTATTCCTCAGGTAAAGGAGCTCCTACTTTATGGAAAGTAAGGGGAAAAAACCAATTGAATATTTATTTTCAATAATGTGAAGAAACACATCAAAGCTTATGCAAATATACGAAATTCCTAGTCCATTTCAGAGCTTATTTGCAAACCTGTAATGCATTATAATATCTTACTCATTCCTGAAAATAATCTCATTGTGAAATATGGTAGAGAGAAAACTGTCATAATGCTTTTTGTCCTTTTAGTTAGAAAGGGATTGATAAATTTCTTATGGTCTTCATTTTAATTTTATTTTTTATACAACCGGGGTTATTTTATGTTACTATTAACTACCTGAAATTTTTTTTTAATCATCACCCAAGGACATTTTTCTCATTGCTTGGGGAGAGAGAGGAAAAAAACAGGAAAAATCAGTTGGTTGTCTCCTGTATGCCCGCCACCAGGGATCAAACCGTTACAACCTAGGCATGTGTCCTGACCAAGAATTGAACTGGCAACCTTTGGGTTAATAGGATAGCACTCCAACCAACTGAGCCACACTGGGCAGGGCAAATGCCTGAATTTTAAACAGATTCTTGGACAGGAGACTTATATCCATCAGCTTATTCAACTTTGGTCTGCATTTGTATATCATTTAGTAGGATTAAATGATGGAGTGCTTTCTTATGCAGAAAAGATAAGTTAATGATATGTGACCTGTTTAACTTATCAGTCACTCATGGGGTGAATTATAATGAATCTGCCTTCATTTTTCTTTTTCTAGTGTTTGATAGGCCTCAGGGTTTTTTTAAAGCCATTTTAGGTTTATAGAAAAGTTGATCAGAGGCTACAGAGTTCCCACATGACTCCTGTGCATCCACACTGTTTGCACTATTTTTTTTTTTTAAATCTTGTGTGACTGTGGTACATTTGTTACAATTGCTGTGCCAATATTGATGCATTAAATTTCAGTTTATGTTAGCTTGATCCTGCTATGGGATCAATGGGTTTGGGCAAATGTATATGAATGTGTATCCATCATTTTTACATCATATACTGAAGTTTTACTTTCCAGAAATCTGTACTTCACCTATTTATTCATTTCTCACTTCAACCCTTAAATCCTTCAAACCCAAGACTTCTTTCACTGATTCATATAGTTTTGTCTTTTCCAGACTGTCATATACTTGCAATCATACAGGGCATAGCCTTGTTGGGTTTGCTTCTTTTACTTAGCAACATACTGTAAAGGTTTCTTCATGTGTTTTCATAGCTTAAGACCTCATCTTTTATCACTGAATAGTATTTCATTGCACAGATTTGCCACTGATTGTTGCCTCTTGAAGGTCATCGTGCTTACTCTAACTCATGCCAATTGTGAATAAAACGCCAACCCATTTTCATGAACAGGTTCCTCTGTGAACATAAGGTTTCATTTTGTTTAGGTCTATACCAAGGAATGTAACTGCTGGATCTTATTTTATGTGGTAATAGTATGTTTTGTTTTGAAAGAAAGTTCCTGTCTCCAATATAGATATGCCCAGTTTTATTCCCACCAGCAGTAAATAAGGATTACCTGCACCTTCAATTCCATCAATTCCATCAATATTTGGTGTTCTAAGTATTTGTATATTGAGTTTCAGCCATTTATTAACTGTGTAGTGATACTTTATTGTTCTTTTATTTGCATCTAGATTTCCTCATGTTATTATGTAGGAATTTATTACTTTTGCATTTTGCGTGTAGGTCTCTAATGTGTTTGAGTTCATTATTGTGAAACATATAAGGCTTGTTTCTAATTTTGTTTTCTGTCTCTGTTTGTATGGGGATATCCGTTATTTACACCATTATTTGTTTAAAAGACTTTCTTTTTCCACTGAATCGTCTTTCCTCCTTTGTCAAAGATCAGTTGAGTATATTTGTGTAAGTCCATAGGAAAGCAATTGACTTGTATATCCTTAATCCTTGGTATGCTCTCTTATTAATTCCAGGAGTTATCTCTTGTTGTGGGTTCTTCCACTCTCTTCTGTTACTGATTTCTGGATTAATTTCTGTGTGGCTTAAGAGCATATTCTGTATGATTTTTGTTCTTTCAAATTTCTAAGGTATGTTTTATGTCCTAGGATGTGTTCTGTCTTGGTAAATGTGTATTCTGTTCTTGTTGCATGAAGTATTCCACAGAGTACAACTAAATCCAGTTGTTTCATAGTGCTGCCCAGTTCTACCCTGTCCTTCCTGATTTTCACCGTACTGGAATTTACAGTTCATGATGAGGTGGTGTCTCCAGCCACAGTAGTAGATTGAGACAATATTTCTTCCTTCATCCTACCAGCTCTTGCCTTATGTATTTGGCACCTGTGTTATGTTATGTACATACATATAAAGAATTACTGTGCCTTCCTGGTGAATGGACCCCTTTGTCATTGAGATACCCCTCTTTATCTCTGAGTTTACTTTGGTTTGAAATCATCATTGTCTTTAATTTATATGCCTATGCCAGCTTTCCTTTGATTACTGTTGGTATGGTATATTTTCCTCAACTTTTTTACCTTTCATCTGTCTACAGCTTTATATTTAAAGTGGATTTCCTTTTCATGAGAAAAAGTGGAGCAAGCCACTTTCTCCTCTGAGTGTTTATAGCAAAGACTTTTGTACTTTTGAACCCTCTTCAGAAATGCAAAGGCTTTTAGGGAGAGCCATGTAGTACTTATACTCTTTGGGGTATAATTCTTAAAGATCTGCTACATATTAGCTATGAGATTTAGAATTTACTTCCTTGAACTTCAGTTTTCTAATTTGTAAAATGGGAAGGGTAATAATAGTATCTACCTTAGAAGGCGGTTGTGAGGACTAAATAATCATGGAAAGTGCTTAGTACAGCTTTCTGGCACATTCGAAAGGCTCAGTAAACAAATGACCATGTTGACAAACATGTAGAGTTGATGCTGGCTAGGGAGGGCAAGGTGGCTTTCTTGTACTGCAAGTGCCCTCATCTAGATGGAAGCAGGAGCCTAGGAAAAGGGCCCTGGGGTGTCCCCTGTGGGCCGTGAGTTTCAGGTTTCCAGTGATTCCACTGGACTTGAACCAGAACAGGAAAGATTCACACGGTCAAACAGGAAGGCTGCTTCAGGAGTTGGAGGAGCCCTTGGGGGTCTTTCAGCACAGTAGGGTCAACAAGGTAAGTTAGAACGAACTTACCTTGGAACAAAGCAAAAAGCTGTCCAAGAGTGATAGAGATGGTGTCCCCATAGATACAGGACAAGTACTCCCTCCTGCTCCCAGGTTTGACCTTTGAGCCTCACTCTTGCAGCTGGCAGAGCATGGAGGAGACTGTCTATGATGTCACAAAGTAGAGGGACCAGGGAATGTTGAGGGCAGGGGAGTGTGACTGCGCTGCAAGGGCAGGATGAAGGGAGGAGGTCTGTTGACCCCCTCCCCAGGGTCTTTCCCACTGTCCATGATGCCATGCTCTCTGTCATGGGAACACTGGAACAGGGTGTTCTTTGGTGCCTCTTCCAAAAACATCTTGAGGATGGCTGGGCTAAATGGAGCAAGTATAGCACTGGACGCAGAAGACCTAGGTCCGAATTCTGTCTCCTACACCAACTGTGGGGTAACCTTAGGCAAATGGACTCCGCAATGGGGTTTCTTTAAAATGGGGATTATTACAACAATTATGTGTCCTATACATATCTTTAGGATTAGGTGAGATCAGGTAAACATATGCCATGGTGCCTAGCTGTAATAAACATTAAAAAAAAATGGTTGTTAATAATAAGTGAAAAAAATAAAGCGACATTCTGTTCCCAATCTCTCTTTAAGAAAAAATAAATAAATGAAGTAGATTGCTTGTAGACAGTGTATAAATGTGATTTTTAAAAACCTGATATTAATTACTATATCTTTCAATTGTATTGAGATCATTGATGATTAAAGTGATTATTGTTACAGTTGGATTAATATTTACCAAACCTTTTACTATTTTCTATTTGTTGCCCTAGTCCTTTGTTTCTTTTTATCTTCCATCTTTTTTTCTGCCTTCTTTGGCTTTAATTAAGCATTTTACATAATTTTTAATTTCTCTCATAGCATATCAGTCACACGCTAAAAAAACCTTTTTATTTGTTGTCTTTGCGTTTTGAGTATACATTTATAACTAACCCATCTGCTCTGTAAAGTCACACTTTACCACTTTCCTGGTTTTGCAAGCGCCTCAAACCACATTATTCCCAATTCCCCCATCACTGTCCCTTATCATGTTGCTGTCATTGATTTCAATTACCCATAAGCATTTTTACTAATATTACTATTACATTATTGCTAATATTATTTTAAACAAAGTGTCATGTTACATGATAAGAAATGTAGAAGATGTTTTATCCTTATTCCTTTTTTAATCCTCCACCTTTATCATGAATTTTTGAACATTTCATAGTAGGTACTAGTAACAAATTTCCTAGAGTGATTTGATGGTAAACACTTCCTCATGACATTGGAGAATGAAAATTTTGTGGTTTTTTCTGGAGGAAAGCACTTTTGAATCCTTTATGTGGTCTATAATCATGAGCAAACTCACCAACCACCCATGTGGACTTCCATGAATTTCCTTGCAATCTGCAACTCTTAACCTGTTCCTCAAGGGCAGCAAAGTCCAGGGTGCCAGGTTATAGTTTGATCATAAAGCGCTCTCCTGGCCTGTTATCTCACTGTGTGTTCTAAAATTTTGCTAGAAGCAGCACTGAGCACATGAGTACAGGGATTTTGTAGTCTTGTCACGCCTTCTTCCTTGTGTCTGACCTGTAAGTTCTAAGTAACTTTCCAGTCTCATTAAATTGGACAGAGAAAGAAAAGAAGAACTCGGTCTGTGATCAATAAAACACAAATTAAAAGCAGTCCTCCACAAGCATATTTGGGGCATATCACCTGATTACTGGTAGAGGCCTGGAGAATTTTAGGACAACATGGTCAGCTGGCTTTGTTCACAATTTGATTTCTATAGGTCACCTAGACTTGTGTGTTTGGTGATGGAGTGAGAAGAGCTTCCAGTTCTTCACTATATTTTATTCATTAAAACTTGATGCAGATTTTACCCTGTGCCTCCTGGAGGGCTGTAAATAATGGATGATAAGAATGAAAACGAAAGACATTTTTTTCAAGAGGAATTGATGGTCTTAAAAAGATACATGTTTGTTTGGTTTTTTAAAGATTTTACTTATTTATTTTTAGAGAGGGGGAAGGGAAGGAGAAAGAGAAGGAGAGAAACATCAATGTGCGAGAGATACATCGATCTGTTGCCTCTCACATACCCCCAACTGGAGACCTAGCCTGCAACCCAGGCAGGTGGCCTACCTGGGAAATGAACCAGAGATCTTTCATTTCGCAGGCCCGCACTCAATCCACTGAGCCACGCCAGCCAGGGCTATATGTTTTTTATCTGTATAGCATTTCAGTTATTTTCCTATATGCTCAGAACCATGACATTGGAGATACATAAGATGTAAAGTGATCACAGTAAAAATGTGTAATTTCCCTGTGTTAATGATAGTATTAAATTTATGAGAAAGAAAGGGTGGAGAGAGAATGAGTTTTTGATGATCAAGGCATAGATGAGATGTTTGGAGACTAGAGGATCATATGTAACCTCTCTATAAATGGGCTGTAGGCATTCAATTCTTTCAGTCTCACACACCCTCCTCTACACATATTTGGGATGTTTCAGGACTCGGTGGCCTTTGAGGATGTGGCTGTGCACTTCACCCTGGAGGAGTGGGCCTTACTGAACCCTTCACAGAGGAAGCTCTACAGAGATGTGATGTGGGAAACCATTAGAAATCTGGCCTCCATAGGTAAGGATAAGGACATTCCTTCAATTGTCAATAGAAAACAAGTGTTTCTTGTTCATCAATATTGTTCCATGATGTGGAATGTGGGAAGAGTGGATGCTGGTAAATAAACTGGGCGTGGTAACATCTCATCATAGATCTAGAAGCTAATAATTTTTTTTATAATTCTAATGCTTTAGAATCATTTTTCTGGTTCTGAATTTTAGGGGGAAAATGGAAAGATCCTGGCATTAAAGATCAATACAAAAACCAGGGGAGAAAATTAAGGTGAGTTGCGCAAAAAAAACCCCGCAGTGTTTCATGTGAGAATTTTCATTTGCTATGAAATTTTTTTAAAAAACAGACAAAATTAATAAACCCTGAATCAAATGTCTTTCTTAGAAAATTTTTACTAAAAATACTTTCTTAAAATGTAACATACACGTTCACTGTTTACAAAATTGTTCACTTGGAAGCAGTATTAATAAACCCTATATATGAATATCACAGTTTGATAATAGCATAGGTGAAGTCTTCCTGGAAAGTGTACAGTACATTTAATTTCATACAATTTAGACAAGATTTATACTTACACTTTTCCTAAAAATCATAAGTATGATGAATATAAAATTATTAATAAAGGAATCATTAATAACGTGCTTCTTTTTTTTATATAAGTCATATGGTCAAGAAAATCTGTGAAAGTAAAGAGAATAGTCAATGTGAAGAAAACTTCAACCTTATTTCAAATTTCAATCTGAAGAAGAAACCTAATGGAGTAAAACCATATGAGCTCAGTTCATGTGGAGATGTCGTTGTGTATCGTTCATCTCTTGATAGACTCTTTAGATGTCACACTGGACAATATGAGCATCCGAAATATGGAAAGAAGCCATATAAATGCAAGGTATGTGGAAGAGCATTTAGTAATCTGCAGCGCTTTGAACAACATGAAAGAAATCACAATAGAGAGAGAACTTATAAATGTAAGGAATGTGGAAAAATCTTCATGCACCTCCAAGCTCTTCAAAAACACATGGTAACACACACTACAGATTCTCCTTATAAATGTAAGGAATATGTAAGAGTCTTCAATTGTTCAAGTTCACTTCGATTACATGAAAGTACACACACGAGAGAGAAACCCTGTAAGTGTAAACAATGTGGGAAAGCCTTCAGTACTTCTAGTTCTCTTCAAACGCATGAAGTAACTCACAGTGTACAGAAACCCTATGAATGTAAGGAATGTAGAAAAGCCTTCAGATATTATCAAAGTTTTCAAACACATCAAAGAAATCACTCTGGAGAGAAACCCTATGAATGTAAAAAATGTAGTAAAGCATTTAGTTGTCTCAGTTATCTTCGAAAACATGAAAGAACTCACATTGTAGAAAAACCCTATAAATGTAAAATATGTAATAAAGCATTCAGGTATCCCAGTTATCTTCAAATACATGAAAGAACTCACACTGAAGAGAAGCCCTATGAATGTAAAGTATGTACTAAAGCCTTTAGTTGTCTTAGCTATCTTCGAAAACATAAAAGAACTCATACTGGAGAGAAACCATATGGATGTAAGGAATGTGGAAAAGCCTTCAAATGTTATCAAAGTCTTCAAACACATGAAAGAAGTCACACTGGAGAGAAACCCTATAAATGTAAAATATGTATTAAAGCATTCAGGTGTCTCAGTGATCTTCGAAGACATGAAAGAACTCACACTGCAGAGAAACCCTATGAATGTAAAATATGTAGTAAAACATTTAGATGTCCCAGCTATCTTCAAATACATGAAAGAAATCACACAGGAGAGAAACCCTATGAATGTAAAATATGTAGCAAAACATTCAGGTATCCTAGTTACCTTCAAATACATGAAAGAACTCATGCTACAGAGAAACCCTATGAATGTAAAATATGTAGTAAAACATTTAGATGTCCCAGTTATCTTCGAACACATGAACGAACTCACACTGGAGAGAAACCTTATGTGTGTAAAATATGTAGTAAAGCATTCAGGTATCTCAGTTACCTTCTAATTCATGAAAGAACTCACACTGGAGAGAAACCCTATGAGTGTAAGGAATGTGGAAAAGCCTTCAGTTATCATACAAACTTTCGAAGACACCTGACAATGCACACTGGAGAAAAACCATATAAAAGTGCAGCATGTGGGAAAGGTTTCGGTTATTCCACTTCCTTTCAAACACATGAAAGGACTCACTTCATGAAACCTCCTGAATGTAAACAGCATGGAAAAGACTTGAATTCACCCTCATCCTTACATGTGAAAACCCCCATGGAAGAGAATTAAACATGTAAGTAAAATCAGAAAGCTTAATAGAAATTAATCCATGTAAATAAGGTGCCAGCAAACTTTCAACATGAAAAAGTTCTTTTTGAAGAAGTTGTAAATATATTGTGTTTATTAAAACTCTTTTTTAAAGTGTATTACTAGACCTTGGATTTCTACTAATTACTTTCAGAAATAAATATTCAGGTGAGATAATTCTGAGGGTTGTCTTTCAACAATAGTACATACGATTAATAGTGCTTTTTCTTAAGATGTTTAATATTTTTCTCCATTTTGAAAACTGTTAGATCCATAGGTATTTAAAATGTGTTTCTTATATGCAATTAATTGTTTTTTTTTTAAATTATGTTTCATTGTTCTGTGTTAAGGGGTCATTTTAAAAAGAAGTTTGGTAGTTTGATTTTCTTAGTGGCCTTGTAGCAATGCTTTATATTCCTAGCTTATTTTATATATATATGAGGGGGGACCAAAAAATTGGAGTTATCTTCTGGAGGGCGGGCCCCTTGTAGTACAGGCTTACCCCCGCTAGGTGAGTGTTCTAGGAACCCATCTGTATCCATGTACCTGCTGGTGGTGTTGTGAGAGGCTGCATTCAGCTTCAGTGAATCTTTTTTGAAGGCTCTTTCAGTGCATTTGCCCATTTCATAATGGGTGATTTATGAGCTCACCTGCCCACACCACGCTAAATGTTCAGCAGTTTTTGACCAAATACAGCATGACCGCCGGTGCCCTACCCTCATTCACCCAATCTCACCCCTGGTGACTTTTTTTTGTTTGTTCCCCTGGTTGAAGAAAGTCCTCAAAGGGAAATGTTTCCCAAGGTGGAGGAGGAGAAACAAAAAGTAGAAGCATGAAAAGGCATCAAAATCAATGAATTCAAAAACTTTCTTGAGCGGTGGAAAAAAGTCTCAATAGGTGTATTGTATCAAATAGAGAGTGCTTTGAAGGTGACTGGAGTTAAAACATGTAAGAATACACAATTTTTTTATAAATAAATTCTGGGGGGTTATTTTGGGTCCCCCTTTATATTCTACCTTTCCCTCTGACAGAGCTGCTTTTTTGGGGGGGGTATAAGAGCCTTTTTCCATTTTTATACTGATAAATATTTAGAATAAATTTTATGAATGGCAATTTTATGAAATTCTCAGATGAAATATGTGAATATTCTTTTTACATTTTGACTTTGCTTTTTATTTTCCTTCTGACTGGTGTTTGGTGAATTGACCTTGATTTAAGAAGAGGGACCTTTATAAGCCAACAAAATCTAAAGTTGGAAAAGTGGGTAATGTTAGGACCTTGGTTTTCCAGAATCCATCTTCTTTATGGTTTTAGGTTAGAATTCATTAATAGCCTCACTTGCATTAGATTTGGAAGGCAAAACAAAGAGCGCATTAGTCAGATTTCACAGCCACCATTTGGACAGATAGATACATAGGAGCTTCACGGGAAGCTCCATCTTCCAGCCCATTTTTTCGGATTCTTTGATTTGTCAATCAAGACTATCATCAAAACCTTCATCAACTGTCCTATATCCATTTTCTGAGAGGTGTCGCCTTCTACTGATGTCTTTACAAGGTCCACATCAAAGATCCATCAGAGTTCGGATTTTTCTGTAAGCCCATTTGTGTCCTCCAGGAAACGGATTCAGACTTCATGCTCATGTCTGGTTCCCCTCTTCTCTAGATTATGTCCGTGTAAGATCTAATTTGTTTAGGAAACACCTTATGCTGTCAGCAGTGCGGTCGAGTATGCTTTTGTGATTCACCTTGACATCTGCAATGTTGCTGCCTCCACTGCACGTACAGTGGTTGCCTTGACCCCATTCTTCCATGTGAGAATCAGCACCTTCCTCCTGTCGGGAAGCTGTGGGTGTTTCCTTTTAATCCCTCAGTATGTTTTCAGTTATGTTTGTTTGTATGTGATTTAAAGTATGTGCACTTTTTGTTCAATGAACACTTCTATAGGTTTTTCATAAAAATAATAACTTTTCTAAGCCATGTGCTAGCAAATGTTGTGTTTTTCATTTCCTGAAAGAATATGTTAAAACGTCTCATTATAACTAGGAATTTTCAAGTAAACTTTTTAATTCTCTGCATTTAATCATTATACATTATGAGTCCCTTTATCATGTGTTTTCAAATTAAGGTAAATTTTCTTCAGGTATATTTTGTTTTTTTTTTTTTATAGTTATGGTTTTTAATATGACACTAATTTTTACCCGCTCCTAGTACCAAAACCTTAAGTCATGGGTATTTTAGTGCCCTGTTGCCAGTAACCTGCAGAACCTGTAGTCAAAGAAAGGAGTGTAATGAATTCTAATGATAAAAAAACCCACAAAGTGTGCATGACTGTAGGGAGTATCATAAAAGGTTGCTCAGGACTCTGATAAGATTGCACCTGCAATAGATGACTTGATGGTTATTCAAGGAACCAGAACATTTTTGTATATTGAATACTATGAGAATGTAAAATTATTATGTTATTAGTAATCATAAACCTTATTACCTAGAAGGCAAAAACATTTAGTGGAGCTAAAAATAATTTGTAAGAAGCCCTAGTCAGTCATTAGTAAGAAGAGAGAAATGTTGGTTATTTTTATGATTTAAAATTGTCACTTTTGCCCTGACTGGTGTGGTTCAGTGGCTTGGGCATCATCCCATGAAGCTAAAGGTTGCCAATTGGACTCCTGGTCAGGACATAAGCCTGGGCTGTGGGCCAGGTCCCCAGGCGGAGGTGTGCGGGAGGCAACAGGTCAGTGTTTCTCTCGCGTATCGACGTTTCCCTCTCTTTCTCCCTCCCTTCCTCTCTCTCTAAAACTAAAATCTTTTTAAAAATTGTCACTTTTACCATTTCTTTGACATGGTTAACAAATTACATTTAGTTTTGTCTTGGTCTATCATGGTCATTGACTACCTTTGAAGAAGGAGGTATGTGATGTTTCTTTCTTCAACAGGGTAAGACTTGGCCTTACAGCGATTGCACACCAGCTCCCAGTCCTCCAAAACAGCTGGCACCTTTAGTACTTACTATCTAAACGCTTATGTGTTTCCTACAGTATATTACACCATTTACCATAAGCACTTCAGCTAAAATACTCACTTCTTAGTGTATTACATGATGTTTTTAATATTACTTTTATTACTCAACTGAGGCCTCTATGTGTAGGTAAGTTGTGAGAGAACACAAACCTAGCAAGGGAGAAAGACAGGACCACTGGCCTGTCAGGCCTCTCTCGCTCAGAAACTGTGCTCTTGATGTTAACATTTCACCACCCTTCATTGTCAGGCACTTTAGAGTCATTGTACCGAATTTTGCACAAATAATCAAGGTCCTTTAGGGCTTGGATATGGTGACATAAGATATACATGTTCTCACAGTCCTGGTGCTTATTACTTTTGTGGGAAAAGAATGGTTAACCAATGGTATAGTTTTAGTTTACACCATTTTGAAGGAAGGTAAAAAATAATGTGACATAATAGGGAGGATGTGGTCTTTCTTTTCAATGTCAGAACCTCAGTGAGTGAGAATGTCTTTATTGATAACGTGTATTTCCACGTGTAATATATCTTAACCACTTTTTCAGGAGCTGCTTAGATAGGGAAGTAAATGCAGGGTAGCAATACAGAATCTCTGATTTTCTTGATTAACAATAATGATTTCCCATAAAGATGAAGATACAGCCATGGCCTATCTATTTTCATTTTTGTCATTACAAATTTTGTGTATATAACATGTGGTCCTGAGTTTGGACATTGTTATCTGAAACTTGAGACTTTCTATTGATTTTGGCCACAGATATTTGTGGTGACTTTCTGTTTGACAATGTAATTTAAGAAGGTCTTCATTTATCTTTAAAAATTAAAATGTTATAGCATTTGCATTTTTCATGTTGCTTCTGTACACACCGACACATTGCATACCCTGTTACCCATAGCATCCTCCCAGAAGGAGAGTTATGTTCATCTATGTGATCTAGCCCATCCCTAGTTTACTTAATGCATAGGTTGGTATCTATGCACGTCTGCTGCAATTCCCCAGTGGATACACCGTCAAGAGGTGTGGATATGTAAAGACAGTTCTCCAAAGAACTCCTGAGGTGTCTTTCAGAGAGAAGTGCCTTTCATTTTCAGTAATATTTATAATTGAGTATAGCAGGAGAGATGGGGAAAAACTGTTGAAGGGTTTTTCTGCTTTTAGAGAGACAGGGGAAGGGAGGCAGAAAGAGAGGGAGAGAAACAACCAGTGATTATTCTCTAATCATCAATCATTTGCCTTTCGCATGTGTCCCAACCAGAGACAGGCCCACACCCCAGACATGTGCCCTGACAGGGAATCCAACCTGTGACTTTGCTTTGCAGGATGACACCAAACCAACTAAGCCACACTAGTCAGGGCAAAATGAGAAAATTTTTAAGTTTTTTCTTGCAGGAGTGGATGGAAGACTTATTTCAACGATCCACACAGCTCATTTTGCTATTTACAGGATTCATTTTTGTATGCTTAGGCTTCAAACACATTTTCTAGGAGGCTGGAAAATACAGGAAACAGCTTCAAGTGTTATTAAAGAGCAAAGGAAATTAAATATTTTTCATATTTTAGAGTTAAATAAATCACATGGAGGAGTTTCGTCAGATAAGCACCACAAGAGTGCTATCTTAGGCTGAAGGCATATTTTCCATCGTTGGATGGCAGCATCACCGTACATTTGTGAAAGCTCACAAGTACACATGCATGCACATGCGTAACACTTGCTTTCATATCCTGGGAGAATGGTAAGCTCTCTCGAACCTTGATTTTTATGTATTTGACACTTATTCCCACAACTGTGGGACCCTTCTTTGAAAAATTAAAGGTCTGTGAGAAAAAATTAGTCCCTACCAGGTCTTCCTTGCAGCCCTGTCTTAATTGAGAAAACACCCTCTAGGGTTGCAGTGCCCTCATCTCAGTCTCAGAGTCTCAGGCACAGAACCAGGAGTGAAGTGCCAGGGCTCCCAGGACCT